CACACACACACACACACACACACACACACACACACACACACACACACACATACACACACAAACTGTTGTGGTGGATGCCATTTAAACTGACATCTAATTCTAGTATAAATGACCTGGTAAAGGTCAGAGTGGTCCTAAATGAATAATTAAGCATTCCCCTGCTCAGGGATGAAGTATGAAGTTTTGGACATGTACATAATGGGTTTATGTTTACTGCATGCAAATAATGAGTGATTATCCTTAGTATGGCAACACACTAGATGAATAATTGAGGTATTTAACTAAAACAATACAAAAACTTATGTACAATGAAAGCATGCCATTATACAGCATACTGTACGGGTTTGGAGTAAAACGTGCTTTTTTTCCTACTCAGTTTTTATTTGTAGATTTGTTTGAGCATATTATTTGTCAAGTTTATGAGCAACAGTTTCTGATTAAAACTGCTGTACACTTTTAATTAATTGTTATTTTTTTGTAAATTTATTCAATGTTAGAATACAACTACGATTTGTTTAAAAACACACTTTGTTACCTTTCACATAATTAAACTGACCAGTTTGGATAGCAGTAGCTTGGTGTTTAGTGTCATAGTCTCATCATGAGGCAACAGGTTTGAGTTGCAGCAGGAGTTACAGTGATCCATTTTTAATTAAAAACCTGTAAACTTTTTTTAATTAACAGGTTAAGCACTCTAAATTTTGTATAAAAATGGATTTTTCACGCACTTAATCAATTAGACTTTATTTATGAAACACTTTTTATACAGTATTATGTAATACAAAGTACTGTGCAGCAAATTAAATTAATTAAAACAAAACAAACTCACATTTTAGCTAAATAAACTATTTAATTAGAAAGGAATTAAACAAATAAAAATAAAAGATTATTAAAATCAGAACATAAAAAACAAATCTGAAAGTAATAAACACTGTGTGAAACTATTCTATCCATCCATCCATCCATCCATCCATCCATCTATCCATCCATCCATCCATCCATCCATCCATC